GGTTTCTTTGGTTTAGGGTTTAGGGTATTTTTGGTTTAGGGTTTAGGGTTTTTTTGGTTTAGGGTTTAGGGTTGAGGGTCAGAGAGTAATAGCAATAGCAAAAGACAAAACAGTAATCATAGTAACACTAGCGATGGTAGGAGAAGTAACGATACTGGAAGCAGTACATGACGACAATCTTAATCATAGACATAACTACACAAATTATAGATTCCGCACGGCTCCACTTCTTCTGATGCTTCTGACTTTGACTGTCCTTGTTATTGGTTCTGATGATGATGATGAAGAAGAAGAATTAGAAGACCATGATCTTGACAATGAATAGCTGATATTGGGGCTTAGGACTAGAAGTAGCAACAGATTGCAAGAGCTGTTCAGTTCAGCGATTGAAGCAAGATTGATACTAAGCTGGACGTGGAAAAGCGGTAGAAATGGCTTGGCCTGGCTTAGCATGGCTTCAGCGCTGTTGAGCATCTCCGAGTCGGAGTTTGACGTAATTCGCACGATCCACCATGCCAATGCTGCAGATGCTTGTAGGGCATACATTTGTGTGTTCTTATATTTATATATATATATATATATTGCAAGCAAAAATATCTGTATATGTATGCACGTGTGTAGGTTTGGATGCATGCATGCATGAATGCACGTATGCATGCATGCATGTATGTGTATGTATATGCATGTGCCATGTGTTAATGTTATGGTGTTAAGATTACAGCTGTACCGGCATTTATCTGGCACTACGACCTGGTGTTGCACATACGATTGTATGAAGTAGTGAAGTAATGGACCATTGCTAGTTAACTATAAAAGATTGCAAAACGAATGGAACAGTATTGGAAATGATGGTGCGTAAAGCAGTAGAAGTTCATGTAAAGTGTCTCTGTGTAAAAGCGGCAGCGACAGATGACTAGACATAATCACTACTCACCTCGATATAAAGCCGGCTCGACAACACTAGGAATCACGGAAGAATCAAACTATACAAACAACGATACGGCTTATTCAATCTAATTATATGGTTGGTGATTGATACTTCTGCGAGATCTGTTGCAGTTGCTACACATGTGTGAGTCTTAGTAATCCCGGTTGCGCATATGGGCATGTGTAAGCACAAGAACTGAATGAACTAATGCGTTCTGAAACGACCACTGGTACCAGAGTATTCAATGACAGAATGTTTTCAACGACCTGTAGATCGAACTCACACAAACCAACAGTAGAATCCTAAACAGAACTGAAAAGATGCTTTTGTATAGAGTTTTCAGCTTTAAGGCTTTGGTATGGAGATCTCCGGCAAGAGCAGAGGGACGCAACACCAGAGATGAAGGACGAGACCAAAAACCCAAACAACACAAATCCAGAGATAATGCCTGAACTGTGTTCTTTTTTTGGTTGTTGTTGTGTTTTTTGGTTTCTGGGTTATACATTTTTTGTACATTGTCCATGACCCATAAAAATCGGAACACCAATGCCAGCGGACTAAAAAACAAAAAGACCCAAAACCAAAGAACCAAAAAGATTATAAAAGACAACACCGAGACAGTTCCGGCATTCTCTGTAGATCTTTGGTTTTTTGGTTTGTTTGGCCTCAGGCTGGGGATTTGAAGCCACACGACTTCAGACCAACAAAGACACACGATTATCAATGCAGTTCCGCCATTGTCTGCAGACCTTTGTTGTTTCTTGCTTTTTTTGTCTTCGGTTGAGTGGTTAAAGCCAGCCGAAAGCTGGGCTTGAATCCCGAACCCGTGAAAAAGGACGGAATCGATGGTGGGAGCGGGGTTTTAAAGGGGGTGGTCTATCATTGGGGAGGGGTTACCATATATATATGTATATATATATATGTATGTATGTGTATGTGTGTATATATACATATATATTTATATTTATATTTATATTTATATTTATATTTATATTTAAATGTATATTTATATTTATATTTATATTTATATTTATATTTATATTTATATTTATATTTATATTTATATATGTGTGTATGCATATATATAAAAACACATACATATACATATACACATATATATTCTTCATACACATAAGTATGTTTAAACCCACACCAGCACACACTACATGCTAACACATGCACATATGCGCGCCTAACAGGTGCAATGCAGCATGTCATACATATGGTGTATAAACACAGAAGAAAATCCGCATGTTTGTTTGTGTATACATATAAGCACATAACAGTACGTTTCGATGTACATGCATGCATCGTCTCTTCATTCGTTTGTACTTCTCGTCATCCCCTGATGACGACCTGACCAGGCCTCCGACCTTCCAAGGCTCCTTCGGAGCACTGCTCACATGCCTGCGCCAATCATCCGCACGTAGGGTTTGGGCTTTGGGTTGAGAGTTTTGGGGATCTACATTTGGGGCTTAGAACTGAAGATTGGGGTTTGGGGCACGGGGTTTGGAGTTGAGGCTGCAGGATTCAGGAACAAGGCTTGGGGTTTGCTCGGCAGGTCTAAGCGCACGGGGCACCCTGCTGACTTGTAACATCTGGTTGGGTTGCTGCCGTGAGCACTGGGTGAGCTGGCAGCTTGCAGCTTGCGGGGGGGGGGGGGCCATTTGCTTCTTAACACAGACGGCCTCTTCTGCTGCATCGGCAGGCCAAAGGGTAACCGAGTGGCCACATTGGCCCCATTGCCTCGAGTCTTTCGAGTCTCCCTGGGCAGGCGAGCGTGTGCAACTGGGTCAAAAAAGAGCGGTCCGATGCCTCACTGAGTCCTCACTCCGGAACTCCATAGCGCTCAGTGGCAGCCATCACCTCCCGCCATGCAGAAACGGGAAGCTTGGATCATGAAGCTATACCCCCTCTGTCAGCATCCTGGCAATCTTGTCCTAGGCTTCCTGTGCAGCAGCATGCTGATTGGCAGTCCTACACCGGCCTTCTTGGACAACAAACAAACGCAGCTAGTAGCAAAACTGACAAATATCTCTGCATTCCCCGGTCTCCACCAAAAGATATCACCCTTCCTGCCCTGCCTATCGCCGGGCACATGGCTGTCACTCACGAGGTACAACAGGGAAACGCCTTTGGCGAGTGCACTTGGCTGACAATGTAATCAAGTCTCCCGGTGTCTGTGCATCATAAACGCTTGCTGCAACCATTGCAACCATGAACACGAACATGGTATCCTGAGCAGCCAGGGAAGCGAGACATAGAATGCGATGGTTGTCTATGCTCTGCTCGCCCGCATCAGCCAGCTCTGCCTTTCTCGTCTCTTAGATGCAGGCTCGAAGCCACCATACTTCCCATGTCTAAGCGGTTTAAGCAACCATGCACCGCAAGCCAGGCCGGCTACAGAAAAAACAGCAACAGCTGCGCGCTCGCTCTGCGCTCGCTGCGCAGACAGGGGTTATACAGTCGCTGCATCAGCGACGAGCAGGATGCCCGCAGCTCGGAAATCTTCTTGCTTCTGAGCACAGGCCCCGGGACAACAGACTGAGTTTAAACGCTGCTGCAGGGCCTCTCAGGCTCTGTCATCTGTACTCTGTCACCCAGGCCATACTGTCAGAACTATTCGACTTGTTCAGTGTGCGCAGCTTGGCGTGCACTTCCATAGCCTGATATACAACGATCTCCACAAGCACTCCTGTTTTGCATAAAAATGGGCGTGGGGTCATCTCGGCTCGCAATTGCAGCTCCCTACCCCGGCCTCCAAGTCTGCGCTCTTCACTGCTTGCTCGAGCCCCTCCAAGAAGACTGCAATCTCCGTCGCACTCATCTTCACGCTCTCCTGCACGCGTCGTGTCCGGAACAGGGGGGCTGAGGCTTGCAGCTCATGGCAACAAGGTGTCGTTTAGATGCGTTTGGTCGTGTCGGGACCGCTATGAGCGTCCTTGGCTGTGAGATCCAGTATGACAGCGTACCCTTCGCCAACATGAAAGGTGGATGCCTGCGCAAACAAGAGAGTCTTCCTTGACCAACGAAATTGAAACTGCAGTTTCAAGCCTTGCCTTCGTGAGGGCGAAACCGCTGTTGGCCAGTCGCTCCTGCGTGAATTTGACGACGGCTTCCGTGTGTTCCTCCTCCGCTCCTTGATTCTACGGACAAGCGCACTCACAGGTCTCGAAGCAACACCGGAATGGAAAGGAGCCAAGCTTCTCTTTCGAGCAGCTCTGGTCACTACTTCTGAGCCCTAGAGTCTCTAGAACCTCCTAGCCATGAGCCTCGAAAGTCCTGGACAATTGCCCACCAAGCCACGCTTGTCTGAGAGAACTCGGAGCTGCTCGTTCGCGGTGGACATCCAGCAGACGAGGACGTAGACGGCCAACAACATGGAAGAGGCGGGATCCACCTCTCAGAGAAAAGGGCCGGCCGGGCGACTACCGGAAGAGATCAGAGAGAGCAGTTTCTTTGGACCTTGTCAAGCCAGTCGCCGCCCTGTCCGGTACTTCTGCAATACGCGCTGCCGGCCACGATCAGCAGCACCAGCCCGTTCCCCAAGATCTTGGCAGAAGCTGCTTGACTGGCGTACTAGACAAGACATTGATTTGAGGCCCCGGCATCGTTCCGGTGGTCCATGGACACTGTTCGCGCGATCTCGGAGTCTGCCTGCCTGTCAAACAATGCGGCTTCACGGACCGTACCACGAAGTAAGCACCCCTATAGTACCCTTGTCGATTGCAGCACTCTTGTACCACCTTCATGTACCCTTATATTCCCCTTATGGTACCCTTACAGTGCCCTTATGGTACCCTTGTAGTACCCTTTATCGTACCCTTGTAGTACCTTCTAGTACCCTTATAGTGCCCCTATGGTACCCTTGTAGTACGCCTTATGGTACCCGTGTAGTACCCTTATAATACCCCTTCCTTTCAAAAGAAAGAGGACGGTGTCCTGTTCGCCCCACAACTCAGACCAGCCTCGCTGCGTAGAGGCAGAAGATCAGGAGAAAGGCCTGGCGAAGAAAGGATGTCCCTTCCACCCCTTAGGGTTGAAATTTTTGGGTCTGGAGGTTTAGTGTTTAGGTTTGGTGTTTCGGATTTTTGCCACAAAAAAACCCGAGTCAAAGTATCAGGAGCCCACACCAAGAGAATATACGGTGCTCGTCACTCCTGTATCCCTTTCCCGATAGTTAGATAGACATACAAACAGACACGCAGACAGATAGCCAGAGAGATAGCTACTCTACCCTAAACCCTAAACCCTAAACCCCTAAACCCTAAACTAGGAGGGGGGGAGCACACTTGCAAAGGAGGGCCTTGATAAGGATGCAGATAAAGAGCAGCACCACAAGGGAGTGCGGTGCCGCTTCTGCAGCGGCCTCCTGGAACGGTTGGGTCCGTGTTCCTGCGGTGTTTCGGGTTTAGGGCTTAGGGTTTAGGCTGTTCCAAGGCCGGGAATCCAAAACCGTCCGGAAACTCCGCACCAGGCGAATGGGAGCTCCTCCTCGACGTAGCTCTCAATCATCTCCTCCAGCTGTGTCGAACCCAGGTGCTGGCGCAACCTCCACGGCGGGAACTGGGCATGGAGATGATGGACGAGGCAAGCGGTAAATGTAGAGATGATCTACCTATAATATCTATCCTGTTGTTTGCCCACCTGCCATGACCGAAGATTGCAACTGCGCTCAAGGGCTCTACATAGCCGTGCCAAAAGCCATGACTCTGCTTCGCCCTCCACAAACCCCTAAGAGTTTAGGGCTGAGGGTTTAGGGCTCGGGATTTGATCCCATCCCACAGACTCCAAGACAAAACGGCCTGGGCTGCTCATCGAAGAGACGTGTCAGCAGCTCCCTGCGCTCCTCTCACAGGGCAGGTGTCGGTATGATACAGCTTTTGGGAGCTAACTTCGGGCTCCCTTAGAGTCTACGAAGGGTCCCCATGTTCTGCGGGAGCGTGCAGGAAGACCCCGCGTAGCAGAGGCGGTGTTCACGACTAACCCCTTGAGTATCAGTGTGAGCCATAGTGTGTGCCCTCCCCTCGGCACCTCCTCCTCGGAACTCCTCGGAGAGAAGCACTGTTCCACACTTTGCAGAAAAGCGCACTTCGATGAAAAAATCGGCGTCTTCTGAGGCTCTGGCCCGAAGAGCTTCTCGATATTCTCGATGATCAGGCTGATCATCGTCGACACCGCGAAAGCCGAGAAGAAGAGAATGCCGAGAGGAGTGAAACGCTTCTTGCCCGTGGGGTAGAGGTGCATGTCACTCTGATCTCGAACTCTCATCTGCGTCACAGCTAAAATCGCACTGCTCATAACATCACCGAGGGATTCAAACACGGAGGCTTTGATCAGCTCACTCCCGGACATGAAGTAGGCAACACCTGAAGTGAAGTGAAAAAGCAGAGCGTTTTCAGCACAGCTCAACGAAAAAACGACCTCAACGGCGAGGCTCCGGCATTTGATAGCAACGAGGCTCACGCCTTACGGAGAAAAATGGCCCACAGGAACTCTGACCCGGATCGCAAGCTGCCTTGCCTCCGAGCCAGAAGGACAGGCTGATGGCCAGGCTGGCCAGCCGGGCTCGCGCCTTTCAAAATGAACTTCAAACAGCTTGGCCGCAAGACTCCCAGGGTTTAGAGTTTAGGGTTTAGGGTATAGGATTTAGGGTTTAGGGTTTAGGGTTTAGGGTTTAAGGTTTAGGGTTTAGGGTTTAGGGAAGACTCCCACGGATTTTTGCTGGTGCCTTTGCTGAAAGCTTTGTCATCTGGCGGCGCGCCGGGCAAAAGCCAGCCCAACAGGCTACAACTCCCCCTTGAGGTCACAGGTTCGGGCGGGGATGATCCAAAGATTCGAGGAATGCAGAGCCAAGCAAGGCCTGGGAAGGTGTAGTGTAGTATAGTACAGTATACTGTGGTGTAGTATTAGTGTACTCTGGTCTAGTCGTGCCTAGCCTGGTCTAGCATAGTACACTCTACCCTACTCTACGACACGATGCGATACGAGACTGGCCTTAGTACTATACTATACTAGTCTGCAGTGAACGAGGTGAACCATACTACTGCAGTAGACTAGATTCTGACTAGATAGTAAACGGTACGAGCATTATAGTAGTCTATATGGTAGCATGAAACATGGCTCGGCAGTATGTTGTACTTCCATAAGCTAGCGCCACCCTGCACAAGGTCTGAAGGTGCACCCTTCACTCAGCGAAGGGCACAAGATGCGTCACCAGATCCAGGACAGGCAGCAAGATACCACGACAGCAAATCCAACGAGAATGGCAAAGGCCGCGAGTACGGCATAGTTTGAAGAGATGCTCCTCCTCTCTGCTCGCCAAACCCAGAGGTACATGGCACCTGGAATGCAGAAGCAGCCTAGCACCCCACAAGTGCCTCCCAGGAGCCCCAGGATGCTCGAAAGTGTGCTCAGCCACTGCGCCAGGCATGCCGCCCCGAAGAGCAGGATGGGCATGCCGGCGATGTTCCGCCATAGATTCAAGAGGGGACTGCTGCCACCATTGCTACCAGAAGCCTTCACATCCCGCGAGGTGAAGAGAACCATCGTGTCACAAACCAGGCTGTGCAATGGCATAAGGATCAGGGGCATGCGAAGCGCATTGGTGAAGCTTAGAACTCCTCTGGCAAGCTCCATGATAGAATTGCCTTGAAACTCAACCAAGATGTCCTCAGGCGTGTCTGCACCGAAGAGCGAGATCCCGGCCAAAGAGACGAGAACATAGCAGACGGGAAGGACACCCAAAAACACCACATGAATCACGCCATAGATGGACTCCCTGTGCTCGGGTTTCAGCTCGGCAGCCATCTCCATGACACTGAAGTGCCCACCGGCCAGGGCAGAGGCCAGGATCGGCGAAGCCATCAAAAACCCCTGCATGGACGCCGCCTCCGCGGCGGGACGTGGGGGAGGCTTCTCGGAGCGGTCTGCGAGGGCGTCCTGACCCAGGGCCACCATGAAGGGCAGCAAGCAAAGCAAGGCTGCCCCGGAGGTGAACCTCAAGGCGTGGTAGCTCCCCGAAAAGCAGGCAGCCAGCACGAAGACATTCACTATCATGCTCAGCCCCAAGGGCGACACGTGGCTGAAACCGCACATGGCCTCCATGAAGATCGGCAGAAGGTCGAGCACAACCCGCTGCATGGCTGTCAAAGCCAGGAACAAGACGGAGATCAGCATCAGCTGAAAGCAGCCCGAGCCGTTCTTACCAAAGAGCCTCTGCATCAAGGAGCCGAAGGTTGAGACTCCCAAATGCCTTCCCAACCGTATCAGCAGAATCAGAGTGACGTCCGTCGTGACAGCAAGAACTCCGAGTAAGAGGATGCACAGCGCCGGCCCGCAGCATGCGAAGGCGTGGGGCAATGTCAGCAAGCCCGTCCCCATGGAAGAGGCCGCGAGGTTCAGAGCCGTGGACAGGGGGGTGCCCGACCCGGCTTTCTTCCCGTTGGAGCGAGGCCTCTCCTCTTGCAGGAGTGGCCTTTGCATCTCCTTCTTCATGGCAGGGCTTCAGCTGCACATGTTCTCCTTGAGCTGCTGGGAACAGACAAAGCTGCGGAATGCTCGCCGCTGCCCCTGATGTACAAGACAACGCAAGGACGGTGCAGAAGTAAGCAGCCTCGCTCTTCTTTGCAAGGGCTAGACTGGCAATCCTCTTCATGTGGCTAAGGGCAGCAGCTCCCGACGAAGACAATGACACCGGAAATGTTCTACAAACATCCAAAGAGGAATGGAACGGACTCATGCTATCTCTGAAATTGAGAGAGCTGAACCACAAAGCCCACGTGCCATCACTGCCCCTCACGGATAGAACAGCAGCTCTCGCCTCGAAACAGTGCAACACGCCTTAAAGCTCAACAGCTCTGGCAGGGGCATTCCCGAGTACCACACCCCATGCGCAACACCTGGACTACAATTGCCAGCAGATCCTGGTACGTATTGCTCACGTAGAGATTCTGGGCTGCTCTTGACGAGACGACGGCTCGAGTTGTGAATCCAAACGCTTAAGGTCCTTCTTCAAGAGGGCTCTCACCACCGCCCGTAATCGAACTTGCCGAACTTGCCGAACTTGCCCCCGCCCTTCCTGAGAGGTGTCCGCCAAGACAGGGAGTACTCGTAAACAGAGGTAATGACAAGCACTTTGTCCGCGGCTTTCCGCCGCCTTTGCCGAATCCGCCCTGCCAGAGCACGGAATGCTGCTCCAATGACGAATTCAGAATACTTGTACTGCCGAACCGCGCATTAGGCTTCAAACAAAAACTCTCCAATCCTCTGCATGCCACAGGGGTCTTATGCTCGTTCTTCTTGTGGTAAGGAAGACTGTGGTTGCAAGAATTCTGGAACTCTGTCACGATCATCACTACCGACGACGATGATGATGATCATCATCATTACTATTATTATGATGGCGACGGTGAGTGTGATGACGGTGCTAAAGGCGGTTGCGCGAGGGTTCACAGTTTTCAAAGAAGAGCCTTAACAAGAACTAGTACTTCACATTCTCGCCAACATCATCGTCGTCACTGCCACCAACATCATGTTACCCTAAACCCTAAACCCCAAACCCCTAAACCCTAAAATCTCTTCTTGATCCTGTCACCTCTTCTTTTCCCAAGCCGAGAGGAGGCGGGGCCTTGCCCTTCCAGTCGCCGCCGCCCATGGGGCCGCCCATGGGGGGACCAGGCCTCGGCTGATCGGAGGGTTGCGACGGCCTTGCGGGTTTACCTCCTTTAGGGCATTTAGGGTTTTTTAGGGGCTGGATTGTCTCAGCGAGTAGCGCGGAGTGATTGCGATCAGTGATCTCAGTTTGTCAGTTTTATGCTACACGATCCAACTGCACTTCTACGTTTTGATACATTGCTCTTGCGCTCAACTTCGATCTTATCATATTCGTGTACTAGGTTACTAGGAGTAGTAAAGTCTCGTTGAAATTATCTACGACAAGAACTACCACATGGCGAGAGGACGTGAACCTTCAGTTCACACCTCTTTCATCCACAGACTCCAAGCAAAGAGTCCTCCACCCGAAGCATGCACTAGTTGATAGGTCCCACTTCCTGTCAACATTAAACCTTCATTCACCCCGCTACTACGCCGTGCATGCATGAAGGGATACATCTCGTTCCATAAGACTCCAAGAAGCCCAAAGTGGTTACCATCTATAGACGTTAGACCGCTGAGTAGCTTCTAGTCGTATACTTTGGCTCTTAGGGGTTCCGAAGCCTATAGTACTGAATGAGCCACTTGTGGAGCCTACGCCAGGGTTCAGGTCAGGGCAGCCGCTGTAGGGCTGCATCGATCCAGGTTTCGGAGACATGCGGTGATGCATCTTCGCCGGAGCGTATGCTAGCACACTCTACTATAACACTGCTTCTGGCCCACATCACATATCATCATGTCCGAAGAGGGGTGCAAAAACCCTCGAGCTTTCAGTTCAGGCCCCCGGCGGCGGTGGCCCAGATCCTCCGGGGCCCGGAAAAGGAGGAGGTCCTGAAAGATGAAGAGCTTAGGAGCAGCCAGGCTTCTTCGACCAAGGAAAACCTCAAAATCATCACCCTAAACCCTAAACCTCACATCATGGTCATTTTTTCCATTCAAAAACCGCGAGCAAAAGCTCACGTAAAGATCCGAAATCGCCAAATTCGGACAGTTGACGTTGCTTGCCGGTACCACAACTCAAACCGTAAGCTCAACCGCACCGCCACCATCGTAGTTCTGACCATAACAAGTAACAGAAGTTCACAACACAGCTGGGCTGGGCAGCTTTGCGCCTGGCCTGGCGGTCCGGGCCCCATGGGTGGGGGCATGTGACCTAGTGGATCTTCTCGCGGGAAGTCCTCCTGAATCAGGGCAACTTTGCAATTCGTCTTGCTGGCAGAACGATTCGAAAGGCAACGGCAGAACATGGTAATCTCATTTTGCCATGAATGCTCGAAGCAACGACAACAGCTGTCCGACAACTCCGTCGAAATTGTGGCCGAACAGTCCAAAGTTAATGACACCAATGAAGTGTGTGCTCACGCATCATGTTGCCTTGAAGAGCTGACATCATACTACCTAGTTCTATAGCTGTGAGTGTTATGCTAGAACTGTCAGTGCAGCCAGGGCTTAGTTCCAACACTAATTAAGGGATGGGAGTATGACGGTTCAATGAGACGTTTCCATGTCTCGAGTCATACTGTGGCACTACGATATTATGATAGTGCTTGGAGAAACTTCCCGGAACTGACCGGATCATCGCACTAGTGGAAACCCTAAACCCCTAAACCCTAAACCCCTAAACCCTAAACCCCCTAAACCCCTAATAACCCTAAACCATTCGTGTGCAGATTCTGATACAACCTTCGTCTGCCAGTCATCCGCTACTGTCATCGTGCGTACTTTCGCCTGGTTCGACCGACTCTCCTCTTCTTTCGATAGCCTGCTGTGTGCACTTGTCGTGACATGATCTATTTTTACCTGTACACCAGTAGACTGTCGTGTTTCGCAAGTAACCTCTACAATAATGCATATTCTTTGGTTGCCCCGATGCAGCACCTCAAACCACCTGACGAAGCAGTGGTATTGTCGTGTTGCTCTTACTGGCTGCTGACCTGGATTACCTTGGCAAGACAACCATTCATAATCGGACATATCAATGTGGGTTGAAAGCGCTACTGCTGCTTTCCTATGGTTTTTGGATTCTGGCATGTGCCTGTTGATGCTGAAACTGCACTAGTAGATGACTACGTGGCCATATTGACATAGTATTGGACAGTTGCAGTACGATGCTATTGCATGATAAGTGTGACGTTTCTCTCTGTCAATCCATATCTTTGAACTTGCACTGCTTGGGTGCTGACTGCACGACTCTACAATTACGGTATTCCACATTCTGCTCGTACATTCAATAATGAAGGCATCCTAGAGTAGTGATCGTTGCATTTTACAGGAATTGTCATCCTGAATGCCGACTGATTGTCAAGCTGTTGTCGTCATTAAAGTAGTTCTCGTATGCGGCCTTTGTATGTGCCAGAGTCTCACAGCTAGTGTGTGATTGTGCTTCTTCATCGTGTTGGGAAATTTAAACCCTAAACCCGAAACCCTATATTGCTTCACCTCCATTCAGACCCCGGTGGCTCATCGACTCCCAGCGGCTCCCAGCGCTTGCGGCCTGCTTTGGCACCGCGCGAGGCTTCGGTTCCAGAAGCGAGTTGATGAGCTCGTCCTCCTGCAAACACTCGACCGGGATTTAGGTGGCTCGTGGTTCCGGCAAAGCGGGCTACCGTTTCCGCAAACGAAAGTATCCCAAGTTGCTTCAAGCAAAGCTCTTCGACTCAGTGCGTTCCCTGCGTGCGAATTCCTGCATCCTGCTCTGCTGATTGTCACAGTGGTCCCAACTCCATGGACTTAGTTGCTCACTTTGATGTCGGGGCCCATTCCCCGATCTTGTTATCGTAAAGCCAGTGGGCGGATCCCTTGCATCTCACCATGCCCGCTTTCCATGATGCAAGTAAACGAGAGATGAGTAATGCATTGTGCTCACCTTCCAGCCCTGGTGTTCCTGTGCCCGATCGCACGGCAATGCATCATGCATGTACACCTATACATCTACATCTGTGCATACACATGTATGTAAACACGTCCACACGCACGTACATGTTACAGTTTCTGGTTGACAAACGTATGACTGGATGGATCGATGATAAGCATGACGGCATAACAATAAGACATGCTTTGATCGACTGGTGCACTAGGATGTATGAATGCATGAAGAAGCTGCCTATGCGCTTCCTCTTGCGCCACATTCAACCAGATTCGGCCTGCACTGTCCCTTATTCCCAAAAGCTTCTTCTCCTCTTCACGGTTTCCACCGTCTTTCAGCTTCGTTAGCAGCTCCTGCGCCACCTGTTTGAGGATGCTATGAGCCCGATGTGAGTCCATCAGTTTAGGCACTTGAAAAGGAAGCAAAGGCGAAGGTTAGAACCTGTTGCACATCAGAGCTTTGTGAACAGAATCACTGCCTCGAAGCTGGCATACTGGAAATTCAGAGGAACGCTGCCAGGCTTCCGTTCCTGCTCACAAGAATCTGCTCCCCAATCAGGGCATAGCCCTCAACGGCCTCGCTCTCTCTCTCTCTCTCTCTATCTCTCTCGCTCTATCTCTATCTCTATCTCTATCTCTATCTCTATCTCTATCTCTATCTCTATCTCTATCTCTATCTCTATCTCTATCTCTCTCTCTCTCTCTCTCTCTCTCGTCTTCCACACAGTCAAGGAAAGAGCATGCGCTTCCTCCTGCGCGCTCTCTCTCTCTCGCTCTCTACCTCGGTCTGTCTACATCTATCTATCTATCTATCTATCTATCTATCTATCTATATATATATATAATTTTTCTTTCTTTATATATATATATATGTGTGTGTGTATGTGTACTGATACACACATACGTGTGTGTATGTATGTCTGTCGGTTTGTCTGTCTGTCTGTCTGTATGTATGTGTGTATATATATATATGTATGTACCAACACACTCATACATGCATATCATATACATATACATATACATATACACATACACATACATATACATATACATGTATATATACATA